TCGCCCTCTCCTGTTAGTTTAAACAGCTTTGCCATTCGAAGGCCAGAAATTGAACTTGATTGACCGGGTGAGGCACCCACTGCCCATGGGAGTATTTTCTAGGAGATGGGAGTTCATTCCCACTCCCCCGCCCCAGCTTAGTTAACCCTTTCGAAGCCACACACACACACACACACACACACACACACACACACACACACACACACACACACACACACACATACATACATACATACATATAATACGTACATACATACATACAAATAATACATACATACATATAATACATACATACATACATACATACATACATACATACATACATACATACATACATACATACATACATACATACATACATACATACATACATACATACATACATACATACATACATACATACATACATACATACATACATACATACATACATACATACATACATACATACATATATACACACAATCGGACACACCATCACGTATATTAAGACACAAATGTTTTTACATCTATTTGATTGGTTGTTTGTTGTTCATCTATCTAAAACATTTTTAAACGCGAGTTTGTCAAACTTAAGGCCTTAGATGTCATCCTAATCATCATCACCACCAACATCATCATCACCACCAACATCATCATCAACACCACCATCATCATCAACATCATCATCATCATTATCCTCATAATTTTTCCTCCTCTAAAGTAACTGTCACTGAATAACATATACAACACATGTGTCTTTCCAAACAACAACCACATAATTTAAAACGAAAAGAATTTTTTTTAATTTATGATAATATTTTTAGGTTGGGAAAACTTATCCATGAGATTTGTTGTTCGTGAGTTGAGCTATGTTAATGCTCATAATGCTAATAATAAGAACAAAAGATAGTGACAAACAATACCCAAGTATCTCCGTATTCGATATATCATACACAATAATTAGTAAACCAAACGATAGATATCTTCATATTCAATGTATCAAATATTAATGAGTCAACCAAATGACTGTCTGACATACTGATTGCTCGATCGATTGATTGGTTGTTTAGTTAAATGATTCAACTTTAAATACATTAACAGACTGATTAAAACTGACAGAGGTGACCAAAATGACCACAATAATCCATTGACCACAGGCAGCAGTCATGGTGTTAAAAAATGGTGAAATGGTTGCTACGGTGTGGGCTGAAAGTATACCCTACTGGGCTACTTCCTCAAACATTGTGGTCCTTAGCTTGGACAAGGGGGACCAAGTCTGGCTGATCCTACTAAACAAGGCGTCCCATCTTCACGGATACATGTACACTACCTTCTCAGGATTCATCATATTTGATCTTTGAATCGGTTTTATACTGTAGTAGAATGGGTTTTTTTTTGATTTGGTGGAATGATTTTTGGAGGATTTGGGTAATTTTGGGTAATTCGTCATTTCTGATCGTTATTTTTGAATGATTTAGTCTTGTAGTGGAATGGGTTTTGCTTGTTTTGGCGGAATGATTTTATTGTTAAATGATTTCGGGGCTGAATTTAATTAATTTATCTTTACCGTTTCTTTATTTTTAAAAATGTCATTTTATTTTTTGTATTAAAGATGTAAAAATGTTTTTTTGGAGATGTTTCATGCAAATATAACACTCGAACAAGCATAAGTGCATTACATTTATGTTGATTTCAATTCATATCGTCATACCATGTTTGCAGAAGTGTGTCTATTTTTGTAAAATAACTTTCAAAAATATCAGGAAATGTTTTTTATACGCTCAGTTGTTTTCATCATGTTTTATTTTTAATAAATTAATTATTAATATTAATTCAATATAAATTAAATATCATTTAATTTCTGATGTTCAGATGTTAAAATTTAGAATAAATAAATGTGTTATAACTTATACAGGGGTAGCTAAGGGGGCGAATTTGGGGCTGAATACCTCCAAAAATGAAAGTTTTTGTTTGAGTTTAAGTTGAAATTTTACAAAATTACTATGTAAACTTTGTGTAAACTTTTTGGTTTAAAATTGTCACAGCTCCTTAGAGGAGAACAATGTTTTGCCAAATGTGAATTAAAATTACAACTTTATACGTAGAAATCATGAAAAAAAAGACATAAGTAAAAAGAAGTTTGACAACTAACCCTAAATTTCACTCTAAAATTTGGCAAGATTTTCGGTAGTGTGGCTGACGACTCGGTAATCACGTACAAATTTTGGTGTATTTTACACATAAAACGATCCATTTTCAGACTTTTAATAAAGAAACAAATCACAATGGCCCCACCTAGATCAGCCACTGGCACTTTTTTGTTTTTTATAATTCATTGATTCATTCATTAATTAATTGATTTATTTATTCATTCATCCATTCATTTCATCCATTCATTCGCATCAATTTAGTTTACCCACTCATCCGTTCAACAATTTTTACCCAAATAACAATTCATTAACAATTTAACGAAGAAAACAACCATTTTTTTCAAAAGATTTGACCCATTAAACGTAAA